CTTGGATTGGATGCGATTAGTTAGACTGCCAGCGCGCATTGCTACAAGGAAATAAAATACACGCCAAAAGGAAAGGGCAATAGATTACAAGTCATCTGCAGTTGTAATAGGCCTTTAGCCATCAAAGTGTAAATGGTGTTTACCCTGAATGCAATCTTGGTTTAAACGTGACGTAATTGGCCCGTACATTTCGACTACAAGAGGAGTTCGAATGAGCAAATCAGGTAAATCGAAAAAAACTGCAACACATGCTTCGGTAGGGCCTTCAAAATTCAAGTTATTGAACAACCGTCCGTTATTTATCGTTTTTGGAAAACTGATTAATAAATATCCTCGAAGGCTAGACAAAACAGCTCAGTGGTTAAGGTGCGTGGTTCGTACTCAACCTCAGCAACTTGATAGCTTCTGTCTAGGCAGCTAGGCACCGAGAGAGTGTGGCAGCTGAACGGTTATGCTTCATATTTAGTGTTATCCTTAAATTCACCCAGTGGGGCTTGAATGAAAGTAAGCGACAGCTTCTCTAGCAATTCAGACTACTCTAATGCGCATGCAACAGGGTAGAAGTTAGAGAAACAAAACGTTAAAAAAGGCTTTCGTGTGGGCAGACTTCTGACGGTCCTCCATCTTTTGATGAGATATGACCCATGGAGAAGACGATTAAAGAGACGACAAATCGGAGTAAACATTTCTGCAGGACACGAGCACATCTTTCCAACTTCGCTAGAGTTAGTTGCGTAAATTCCCCCAGTCGACATGCATCAAATAAATCACTGACGCCACCGTCTCACCAGAATGTACACTCTCTTACCATGAGGATAACTGCTTCCAATAACCAAATCTGTGTAGCCGGTGTGAATTCGGTCTCGGAAGTTCCAAACAGTTTGCGTTAGATCAACACCAACACTGGAAATAGCCTCTGCCGTACAAGTGGAAGGACTTAGTAGCCCAAGCGGTACCTTTGGCGTTTTTGTTGGACGCTTGCCACAGTCTCAGAGAACGCGGTTGCAATGAAACGACCTGCTCTGATTACAGCTCACTAAGACGGACGTCATTATGTTCCGACCGGAGTAAGGACCTGGTGGCGGAAAGTTCGCGGGACGAGAAGATATTCGTCCTTCTAGTCTACACTTCCCAGAGTCTAGTGACCAATTTGAATTTGCCATGTGAGTTTCGATCCCGGGTTGTCGAAGTGGTTGAGTGCACTGTCATTTATTCGACAACATATGTCAGAATGTGGGTGAGCATGCGACTATGCGACTTGATATTCACATGCTTAATACATTTTATGAACCATCTTCAATTTACAAGCACATAGTGTTGGACACCGTGACAAATACATACTACTGAGTTACTTTTAAGCAACCCAGTGGTCCTCTGTTTTCGTTGACCAATTTTTGGTAGCCCAAAAATATTACACAATATCCGGGCTGATGCCAGTGAATAAATTTGTCACTGATATGTCACTGAGTCACCATAATGGTTCGATTTGCTTAATCCATAAGGGGAATAAAATGAGGATAAATCTTTGTCAGAATGAAGCTATGTCTGAGTTCTGACCTCTGACACGACAAGTAGCCTCATTTATCAAGATGTTCAAAGCATAAAACTCCCACGGAAGATCCAAATCACGGCGCAGCTGGTAGCATCCCATTCCTGCGAGCGGTAAATAGTCTTTGGTCAAGTTCAGAGAGGTCAATCCTGACCAGTTTAGGAAAAACCCTCGTCTATGAATCGGGCCTGTGCATTATACCAAACCACTAACTCCAAAGGACACTGTCCAGCCTAAATAACTGTTTTCCTTAGGATAAATCGCCGCCGCGGCGCAGCTGGTAGCATCCCATTCCTGCGAGCGGTAAATAGTCTTTGGTCAAGTTCAGAGAGGTCAATCCTGACCAGTTTAGGAAAAACCCTCGTCTATGAATCGGGCCTGTGCATTATACCAAACCACTAACTCCAAAGGACACTGTCCAGCCTAAATAACTGTTTTCCTTAGGATAAAATCGCCGCCGCTCTACCACCTTCTTTAGAGCGGGGTAAAATGAAGGTGAAGTACTGAGAGCATGAGGCACTAATATTTACAGTTCCCTATCTCGAAAACGTAGTCTTTTTTTCCAAAAAAGACAAGCGAACGTAATGACAATATACTACTCTACCAAATCGAGTAGCTTCGCGCATCCAGATTAACTAGTGAGTACCCAGTCATATTAGCATACGGTCATCCCATGAGCTAACAAGCTTTACCACAAATCTATAGCACCTATTTGCCTGTCTATTCTGTAAGCAAAAATTGAGAAAATAGCAGTGGTAAAGCGTTAATTCACGCTAACATCACTCTCTGTTGTACAGTAGTTCTCCTGTCCTGGCACATTTATTGTGGTGAGTTAACATCAAAGGAAGCGGTGAACCATTGAACCCGAGTTTTGGTCATATTGGATTTTAGCAGCAGTGCATATCTTTGGCCTTCCAGACCTCACGCTGGACGCCTCACGTTTGAAAAGCAGAACATGTTCATGCTAGAGTGACGTGATTGGTTGACTCGACGGTTCAAACGCTGACCCAGTAGCTGTCCTGCCGGTGTCGATCGATCTTCTCAGCTGGCTGCACAGAATGTGATCGTGCACCAAACCCGTCCACATACACGCTCACTCTCATAGATACACGCGAGCCAAGTTAGCTGGAACTGGTGAACTGGATAGGGAAGCAAAGCAAACACTATTTTGCGTATAGTGTAAAGCGTTTCCGGTTAGAATGGCAGACCTTGTGGTGCTCTGTTCATAACATTCTAAAAAGTCGACAGCCTTCACCTGTCTTAGTCTCGGTTGAAAACAGCCAAGTATTCATCCCTAGCTCTATATCCATCAATAAATTGCTGATGGTAGTGAGGAAATTGAATTGTTGAAGTTATCTACCTGGCAGTTGTCCGGTGATATGCATCACATTTCCCTCTACATCCATGCGTCTTCTGATTGGTTAGCATTTTCCGTGAGTCATGCTGACTGGATCGATGTCCATGGACGAGGCGCTTCTATTGATTCGTCAAACGTAAGTCACACAAAAAGCCACACGATGGCAATAAAGTAACAGAGGTTGGGATGAACCTGGCTCACCCTGCCTACCCATATTGCCAGCTGATTGGGTCCCCTATGCGCGCCCTTCAGTTCGATGTCATTCGACGTTAGCGTTGTTACCATACCTCACACATTTCCACTACCAGCCGGTCAACTTAAACCATCGAAATCACGTCACGTGAATCGAGCATGATCGAATAAGCCTGATTATAATGGTTGACCTGAACAACTTGCAAGTTTTAACAGCATGATCTTTGACCCACTCCGTATTGCCATAAAAGTTACCGTTAGGAAAAGTACACTGAATCCTACAGCACATGCGACGAAATGAACTTAGAAGCAATGAATTTATGACAGTGGATGCAATGGGAAATTCGTAATCAGGGCACATTTTCAATGAAGCTCAGGTTAGATCACACGATACACTACAGCGCGTACGCAGAATTGGTGAATCAGACTGTCATTCCGAAATGGAGTGAGCATATGGAAATGTTGCCAGGTATCCAGAATGTCACGTTGGTTCATTCTGGACGCTCCCCGTAGTCCGTGTGAGAATCTTGAGGGAATCCAGTTGAAAACAAAACCATCGATTTGGGGACGAGGAAGAACGATAGACGTGAGCGTTTTGAACGTTTTTGGAGTGTTCTTTAATGCACCATACGTGGTCATAACTGCATCCAGTTGGTTTCACGCGGTGCTGGCCATCCTTAGTAAGAGTACCCTCAAGTCTTGCCCAGATGTCTATGGAAATCGGATGTGAGGTTCATTACGAATTGTTCACTTGACGTTTGTAAACATACCTAATTCGAGTACAGTATATCCTGTTGAACAGCTGATGGTTTGATGGTTACTAACGGTAAACGTAAAGTGTGTAAAATCGTACTCAGCAAGGTCACCCGACCACGTGGGATTTTCCTCACCCAGGCCTTATTCGCTGCACTCGTTTTCTGTGATATTTACAGGAATCAATACTGGCATTTACTATGCTGTGGGCACACTACTGAACCCGATACTCGCGCAGTATTTTGGGGTAAGTTGTTCGTGAATTACTGGTGGTTGTGTGAATCTTTTTTACGATCAAAAGACCCATGGTCCTTTTTATCGAACGCGAATAAGTTTAAATGGTAATGGGTTCAAAAGATGGTTAACACTTGATGAGCCGGTTGTTGACTTGTACAAGGGGGTTGCTGTGTATATACTTTTGATGCTGAGATCACTGACACGACTTTACTTTGAATGGTATTCACTTGTGTACCCGGGGATCAAATTCTTCTGCTGTTTGTAAGAGAACAGACAGAGCCCACTGAGTACGTTCCATTACTAAATCCGAGCTACTTCAAGTGCGATGATGGAGAAAACTCTTATCTGTCAATAATGTGAGTGAGTTCAACGGGACTGATGAACGAGAATCACAGTTGAAGTGTCTCGGAGAAAAAATGATCAATCCAAGCGCTTCACATGTAGTTACTTGCGGAAATGGATTCCATATAGTTGCCGGAATTACTAGGTGAGTTGTCAAGGTCAAAAGCACTCCTGGCGATAGCTACGATAGCAGTTTTTCTAATATCACTTCTGGGTTTAGGGAACCCAAAATGTGTGACAACTGAACTATGCCACCATAGTCTTGATTGTGAGAATATTTTCATCGACATACGTGTAGCAGTCAGATGATCTATAAACACAGGCCCATGGGCCACAGTAACAAAGAATTTCGAATGTTCTTGACAGCAGTGACCGCATTAGCTCTACTTTAGGATGCTAGCTTAATGACACATGAACAACACTGTGTGTGTCCTCACGATGATTTCTTAATCGACCAACCTGAGTACAAGTCAGTGAATCCCTCGAATGGGCATGCGGAAATAAGATCTGAATAGATTTCAGGGACCTAATGAGTAGTGTGTTACATCTGGACACAACGCAACATCTCGAATATCGTCCAATTGAAAACCTGAGTACAAGTCAGTGAATCCCTCGAATGGGCATGCGGAAATAAGATCTGAATAGATTTCAGGGACCTAATGAGTAGTGTGTTACATCTGGACACAACGCAACATCTCGAATATCGTGCCAATTGAAACATTTGGTGACCTGGCGCAGCATATTCAGTTGAAGCGGACCATCAGCTGGATTCAGTTGACTTGAGCCTGCTGTCAAAGCCGAGTCATTGTGTAAATGAGAATTTCTCTTCAAGTCTGTCCACTCTTGGTTCAGTTAGGCTGAGGGAAATTAGGTGACCACGTTTAACTGGTGAACCTGAAGTGAAAAGGTGAAACAGGTCGTAGGCTATCGAAGATTTTTCAGCAAACTCATGAGTAGTAAGTGTAATGCCTAAACAACAACCTTTTGTGCTCATGATGAGTGCTTTAGCTGGCTACCTCGGTTGGTAAAGGTACAAGCTAGTGAATCGCCTAAGTGGACACGCGGAATTGTAATCTGATGAAGGGTTTGGAGTTAAAAGTTATTAGTCTGCAGATGAACAGGCTTGAATGTTTGAAACGTTGTCGGGCGTGTTTTTTCGCCATAAGGCTTCTTCATAGAACTTTTTTTACACAGGATGCAGTGCATAAGCCCGTGAAAGGGGTCTACAAAGGCCAGAATAACATAACGTCTCTTGATAAACAACAGAGAAGACTTTGGGGTTCTAACCAGTAGCTTACTCCACCTGTAGTAAACCGTATGAACGTACGTGGTGGAAGCCAAAAAATGAGCCAAAATGAGCCAAATCGATGAGTGAGGTGTGGATTTAATGACCGCAAGGTCTGAGGTTCGAACTCAACCTCAGCATTTCGAATGCTCTTGACTATGCTTGAGCAATCTGACGGTGTATCAGCCTTCGTTTTTCCTTTGGATGGCATAGTTCCTAGATTTCAGAAGGGTGTTACAGCTGCTTAATAGTGTCAGAGTTACGGGATTGTCCAACTAGTTTCCCGCAGTTTTCGGGACGATCTGATTACTGTAATCGCCATCATAGAAAACTACACCGTTCATCGAACAAGACCATGAAGTTCCTCAAAAAACTTCATTGTCTCACAGCCTTGTCCTTTATGGCTCTTCTAACACAGTTTACAAAGTCCACGAAATCTTGTTTAATTGTCCATTTGGATCCTGATTCATTTTTCAGGGTAATCCAAATATTGGTTGGATCGGGTTCACAATGATCGTTGCGGGAATCCTCGGGTCTGTTCTTGCTGGAATCTGTTTGGACAAAACGAAGAAATACAGGTTAGTCGTTTGCTTGTTTATCCGAAGACGTCTACTGATTAACACGTGAGTACTAGATGTAACGCATTCGTTGAATGACCTTTCCCAGTCTGAGCCGTTCTCCCCAATGAACAGTAGGCTCTTTTCATCGTTTTCCACTCCTCTAAACTGAATGTTCTTAGGGCTGTAATAGGATTTCATACTGTTGAGAGCTGACGTATCCAATTTAAGTTGTCCAGAGCTTGCCTATTCCGGACGAGATACGTTCCTAACCCAATACCTACACTGAAATTCGTTTTCCTATCAGGCGACCAAGCGGCCTGTCGTCTGAAAATCCCAGACCATAAATTCTATTTTGTACTGTCAAATGTCTTGTACAACTGCCGGTTCTGCACGAAACGTAGATGAACTTGCTGATATGCCGATCCATAGGCGGATACTGGGAGTCACCACGAGCCTTCCGGCAGCAAATGCGTCAGCTTTATGGAGAAATCGTACTTCAACAAACTTAGCTCTACACACATTGCTTCACGCCTTGCGGATGTGCAACCTGTAGGGGCAGCCAAAGCAGTTTTGATTCGAGCGAACGAGGGACTTGCTCTGTCTTGTCGGTTTGCTTCGGCCTCATTAGTCTCTACCCCGGTCCATTTGGTACAGCTACGGCGTAGCGACAGTGCCACTGAAACGTGATGATGATGCGCCACAGTAAATAAGTGAACTGTCCCATTGTCAGAAGCAAGCCTAGCTTTTTCAGACACTCCAGTCTGTACCAGGCAAAGTGTCCATCGGTAGCAGAAACAGTCGGCCTCATTAGTCTCTACCCCGGTCCATTCGGTACAGCTACGGCTGTTAGAGCGGAGTTTGTAGCGACACAGTGCCACCGAAACGTGATTGCCACTGAAACGTGATGATGATGCGCCACAGTAAATAAGTGAACTGTCCCATTATCAGAAGCAAGCCTAGCTTTTTCAGACACTCCAGTCTGTACCAGGCAAAGTGTCCATCGGTAGCAGAAACAGTGAAACTGTTGTTATGAGCTACCACACGGATATACGGTTGATGGACGTTAGATAAAGACACTAAGGTGATCGATTCGCATAGAGCAACTCCACATAACACGCAACGGGTGCTCTGAAGTCACTGGAACATGAAGTAGATGGCCACACGCAGGAGAGACCTCTGAGATATCTTGGCTACGCACTGTACGGACGACCGCTTCATGGTTCACCATTGTATCACTAAAAGTGACATCTATCGGAGTGTTTACCACCTATCTCAATAAGAAACACTACAGAACATAAAGTTCACTTCCTAGGGAGAGTTTTTTTTTAATAAGAATGCCTTTAGATGACTTCAGTGACTCTGACACGTACCACAAGAGCTATTGTGGACAGGTCCGTGAAAGTATTCAGATGCGCTTCAAGCTATAGAATTCGGCTAACTCAGGGGAACGCGTACTTGTACTGCTAGCAATAGTTTTTCAGTCCTGTCAGAGGGTGTTTCATCCAACCTGTCCACCGATTTGCGAAAAGAATTCTGCTTGTCGACAGACTCGATATATCATGCCGCATTGTTGAGCCTCGTGCGGTGTTTGATGGATTTTCACCGTAGATAGGAACATTCTATCACTCCGAAAGTATCATGAAATGCGACCTACACACAGCACTGTCTCTTCAACAAATTTGTCATCGTGCTTCCATCATGACAAAGAACTAACGAAAGATGGTGGGGTCTCTGATAGAGAATAAGCCATTTGCGTTTTTCTGCCAGATTTCAACTGGAAGGCATCAATGAATTGCCTTAGCTACGACGTTGGCCTAACTGGTTAAGAAAGCATGACCGCTAATTGACCTCATCCAACAGCCATGCTGTCAAACGGGTATCCATATCCGAACACACCTCTTTTTAGGTCTTTATCTTGGTGACTAAACCAGAGGGAGAGAGAGTGGAGGTTCGCATGAATAGTGCCAGAATCATGCTGTCCTTTGCACACAAATTTGGTTTTCATCGGCAACACAACTGAATCCCAGCTGGTTCTCTCGTTTATGAAATTCCCCAACTGAATGTGCTACACGAAGGCCGCCTCATGTTTCAGTTGGTACGATATTCGAGATACTGAATACAAGGTTGTGAGAAGCTGTCCGACGGTTAAAAAATGTCACAGACAATGTATTCAGCTGGGCCTCAGATGAAAACCAAGTTGATCTGCAAATGAATTTCTCACAATTTAAGTTCAATTAGACCCTAAGGTCGACAGAAAATCGGGAACTGAGCCCAAAGAAGGGCAGATTGTTCATTTGCTGCAGAAGAATTTTCAGCAGCGCCATGTACAGTCTCCTTCTGGACTAGGTCGTTTTATGTGCGAGAATCACCGCTACTAGTCAAGCATCACTCCCAGACATTCATGAATACATATCTTCTTGGGCGCAACTTCACTAGGATGGAAAATACATTCGAACATCTGTTCCAGTGCTGTACTTTACTGTCCATAGATTGTTATTTCTCGGTAAGGATATCATTGACCATTTGATTCACTGACCGGTTAAATGTTAAATGGAGTGAGGTAGACAGGCACACACACACACACATCCATCACACATGAACGGGAGGAGTTATGGAAAATATCGAAAATGCTGGAAGATGAATTAGGATCACTCACAGTGACAGCTCCACATGAAGACTTCAGGAGAAACCAACCATGAGAATTAGAATTGGACACTCAGTGGGCTCGATTGGGCTGGAGTTTCGAGGGATATCGGCTCCGGTATGAAGATCTAATATGGATTAGACTGACGTAGGTATCATTCCATATAAAGCAGGGATAGTTGAGGTTAATCGAAGGGTGTTGAACAAACTTGCTATTCGAATCACGTTCAAGAAGTGAGAAACTTTATTCTTCTGATCAGTGCAGCATAAGGATGAAAGGCGTAGAGACTGTGTACATAAAATTAACCACACTAATATGCGGCCTGGAAACCGTGCGCCACAAATGGTGAGGACAGCAGAATAGTAAAGGTGAAATAAACCTGAAATGCGGATCAGTGTCAGGCGCTGGGCAATGCAGCTGTAATAACGGACATACAATGGGCACATGCACAGAATAGATCATGAACAGATGAAATTTTCAAAACAGGGACTTCGATTCAAGCCATAGCGGCTTTTGACCGAGGCGGTGGTAATCGCCACGCACTACATCATCAACATCGTCGACAGAACGACATCAGTGTTTGACTCCGATGCCTCACTGCCGTAAAACCATGATTTATTTGAAGGCCTTATTGTAAAGAAAAGAATAAAGTTGAATGGGGAAGGGACTTGATGCTAGCTTACGACAAATATTCTGAGGTGCCTACTTCCCCAGATAATCACTCAGGCAATCTGGATAGAAACTGACAACAAGAACGCCATATCACGCAGTACAGTGTGAGTAGAATCAAGAGCAAAGAGCTGGAATTCGTATGGAGAGCTGGCATGCTGCACCGTTGCCAGTAAACATGGATTTTTCATCAGAAGTGGTGAAAATGGCGCAGCATTACGTCACCCACACAGGGCAGAAGATTGTAAATGAATCTCAAGGGGAGTGTTCGAAAGAATTGAACCGGAGATACCATACCCTTGACCCGGCCCAAGGTCTATCGGTCTCAACAGTTGTTCACTCATCCTAACAAAAAATTCATCGGTTGATACCTAGCAAGAAGAGATATTTTTGCTTGGTTCTCCTAACTCAACACACGGTCAAGATGGTAACTTGTTCACTTGACCTGACGAAGGATTTGTGATAAAATCGAAATGTTCCTCATTAATAAATCAGCCGAATGACTACCAAACTCCTAAAATGTTAAAATGAAATCCCCGTTTGAAAGAGCTGATAACTTGCAGGTGCAAACCGGTATTTTTTTGTTGGAAAACGCCTCTGTACTCCGTACTGTATATGTATGACATTTAGTTTAAGTGATCGCTTCATTGTTCGCGCGTGGGCACTAGTTTCTCTGTGCATAATCGTCCCTCGTTGTTCGATCGATGGGCAAGTGGAGCTACTTTATTGGAATCGATCACATATCACGTGACCGTCCGGGCAAAACAGCTACCATGGTTGGACAGGCGCCTTAAAATGTTACACTGTATAATCTGTGTATTATGTGCTAGATCGCACAGTGTGCTATTGGAAAAGTGTTGAATTTGATACGCTGTGTCGACATTATACCAGTTCATTTTCCTATTTATCGATCAACAGACTGGTCATATTGATCACTTATGCAATCGCGTTGGTTTGGATGTGCGGATTCACAGGATTACTTCTTCTGGAACGAATCGACGTTGCGTTCGTGGCCTCATTCTTTCTTGGGTGCGTGGCATCTCTTTTGTGTTTTCCCACATTTACTTTCAACCAACCCAATTTTTCACATTGTCTGAGATGTTACGGGAACCATGTAAGAATGATTGACATCCGAAATTCAATTTACGACGCCAATATCTCTATTGTCTCACAAGCTAGTGTCAAAAGCTTTTTTGTTTCTGTCAGAGGGAGCACGTGGAGGTATTTGGATGCACAGAAAGTCTTGTGCACTCAGGTTGGGAAGAAATTTCCCTACCAATGCCAACTTCTCGTGGTGCTGTGATGTTCACGAATGTATACAGGATGAGATACGCACACAGAGAAGTGGACGATTGTGGCCCTAACCCGAAGTCTTCGGACCAAAGCCTCGCAACAAGTAGGTTGGTAGGCTGACCGTCGGATTGAAATCTTTCCACCTTTTCATAAGTGCGGGCCCCTCGGTCTCTGTAAGTACAGATACACACTATTTTTGGTGTTCAACGATTCTATGAATGTCCCAGATTGTAGGTTTAGAAAGATGACGAACGGCTCATGCCGCTTACGACTCAACTCTTGTCTCCAGTAACGGACAGATCAAGAGTATGCACAGCAGAACTGACCGCAGAGACAGATTTTCAGTCGACCTCAGTGGTGCTTGACTCCCTGGGGTTGTGTTGAAGACATCGTAAACCAGCTCACTGTCCGGTTCGCGTAGTAAACGTCCGTTACTTTTGACGTCTCCGGAGGCGCAGTATTAGTCGTGAAATGTCATCGTCGAACTGCCGCCGCCTTGGAAATCTTCTCGCAAGAATCCTCAGTCATCGATGAATACTGTAATGGGCACTAACCAAAGCAATTCATGATGCGGATGTGATCAGATATCCCAGCAAAACTCCAATGGCAGGAGTTTTCTGGTGCCACGGATAACACATGTTGCCCAAATTTTTATAATCCCGTGTCTATTTCGAACATGCTCATTTTGGGCTAAACCATGCTATGTATTGGACTCAACCAATCAGACGCATTTCGTCCCAACTTTATTCCGAACGCAATATAATCCAACTTCCATTCTGTTGGCGCTAGTGGTCTGTACAATACGTATGTCACATTTTGCGCAACCAAACTGTTTTTCCGTGACGTTTACTGCACCTTGTTTTCCCATTGATACAGTAGCTTTGATTGTAGTACAGTGCTTCTCACTGGTTTGCGCGTAACCGCATGGATGCCCATCAGGTTTTCATCAGATCTGCCAATTCCGACTTTTCGGTGATGGTGATCGTCACACTTCGGCAATTTTACATGGCTGCTCCAAGTGTAATGAGGGGTTTGTTCAACATGTAACGGACTGACTTATTTTGCGGAAACGATCAGGAAACCCATGGGGTGAAAGTTGCTTTGGATGACAGTTAAACCGACCTGTCTACAGGTTTGGTGATTTACCACTCGGTTTTCGGATAAGGATTTCCGTAGCATCCCCACACACGCATGTAAACAAAGTGTCGGTTTGGCTGCGATGGAACACTGTACACATTAGCTATTCTACTTAATTGCCCATAAGTAGCCAGATTGTTCTTTTCGACCAGTAACCGACGATCGCCCGGACTTTCAAAGTTCATCAGCTTGATTTGTTCCACCAGATATAAACCCTATTTGGCGAAATACACTCATTTTCGAGAGGCTCAGCTAGAAACCAGCTGAATCTCTCGTTTATGTTACTATGTTTGAGTTCGAAAAGGGTTCACCACCAGTTTACTTGGCGCGTTGTGTTAGGATACTCCTGAATAATGATTTCGCCTTATTTTGATGGCTCCAATGAGTACAGGTTTTGGTTTCGTGACCGACGGAACTTCGGTTTAGTTGGAAACACTGGTAATTTGCCGCGAATGTCATCAGAATCTTCCTAGGTGGTTAGGCATAAGGATTTGCCGCTGGTTGATTGCTGTCATTAGAAGTTTGGCTCCACCAGCTCAACAGAAATGGCCCTCTGAAGGCAGCAAGTAGTGCACGATATTCAGTTTTTACTATCGAGTTGCCAAAGCAAAGAGGAACTCAAACCGGATGGATTGGTAAACTCATCAACTATCAGGTGTGAACCATAGTATTTGGATCCAGTTGTTCGACTTTGAAAGCCTCTCAGAGTCACTGTTGTCCTACGTTTCGGATTACTGTTATTCTAATTTACACTAAGCCACTGAAATATATGTTTGAAACTTTGTAGTACATGGCTGTTCTTCGAGGGGTAAAATCGCTACAAGCGAGGCAATAATAGCAAGAAATTCATGGGGTATGTTGGTTTCTATTGGAGAGGTACGTATCGTACGGAGTTTTATCAAATGGATTACTGCGTAGAACTTATCAAGAGCGGTGAGGTAAAAATTGTTTCATCACTTTCCACCCAAACATGGATGGCTACGATGCACTTTAGCAAGCGGCTATGAATATGAGTAAAGTCGAACTACACAACAAATTGTCTGAATCTGTGTTGTTTAGATTGCCAGTTCTGCTAATCTGGAGCGTGGTTTCTTTCACTTTTTCAGCAATCCATTAATCCTGGGATCAACGAAATACACTCGTTTGCAAGCAAATTTAGTTTTGCAAGAGACTCACCTAGAACCCAGCTGAATCTCTCGTTTTTGATGCCTTCAGGCAGAACGAATAATCCTGGGATCATTTTGCTATTAGGTTACTTTTAATTCACTATTTCTATGTGGTCTTTGTTCGTTCAACTGATATGCGCAGTATAGGACTAATGGGGAGGACAATCTGTTACTTTGCCTCCATCCAGACTCGCAATGACCGGCTTTCTACCAATCGGCTTCGAATTTGCCGCCGAACTCACATATCCTGCCGATGAAGGACTTACATCCGGTCTGCTTAATGCATCCGCTCAGGTACGTGTATTGTGCACCTTTTGTTTGTTTTGCACATGCTCCCTCATGAGCTTTTGTCTGGTAGACTTTTCACTATGAAGAAGAAGGTTGGATTACAGTAGTTTATGTATCGGTAGTCACTTCCTCAGACATCAAAATCGATGTGTTTGTGTTTGTTCCATCCTCTTTGTTGTATAGCAATAAACAGACACTCCCGCTCACTTCAAAAAGTTATCTTCCATGTAGCACATACGAGCCTTCAACTAGAACGTATCTCACGAGCAGGAATCTGGGTTGCTCCGTCCTCAGCTTTGATACTGCCGCATTAGTCTAAAAAATACTACTTGCCTGTCGCCAGCACTATGTATGTTTTGAGCAGCAGACGCTTTTTTTTATTTTTAGCTCAGTTCTCCAGCCGGATTTTTCCCTAATTATTCATCTTTCTTCATTTAATGAATTACGGATTAATCCTGACTAGATGGTTTCTTTAGCATTACTGACTACTTTTCTACTCCCAGTAGTATATTTTTCAGACGAAAACTGGTAGGCCAGGTGGTAGTGTATCGTTGCCGCCCGCTTTCACCACTGCTTAACACAAGAACATAATTTGGTTTCGGATTTGAAAACTTTCTGTTTTGGGCAATTTGCAGTATTTCTGTGCTTTAGCCCCATTTTGCAGCATAGTTCCCGTCTATTTTGTGCGTTTTTTTCAGGTTTTTGGGATCATATTCATTACTTCCGCAAGCAGTATGGTGGGTCTGTATGACGTCAAATATACCAACACTTATTTCACCGTCCTACTGGCCGTTGGTTTCCTTCTACTGTGTAAGTTGAATATTTTTCGGTAATCGTTTCGACCCATCGTGACAATTTTTCAGCGTTTTGCATCGGTCATTTCAGCTAGGCGTTTCCTAGGCACAGATACCAACAACAGTACAGCTTTGGCAAAGTGCGCTCATTCGCAAATTCTTCCATGTTAACCACAGACCCGGATATAATCTTTGTTTGTGACATCCTTCAGCTGTCGTACGATGAGAAAGTATACGCCGATTTCTCAAGTATCCTGCCAACTGAGACAGTTAAAGAACATCACAAACGAGGGATCTTGCTGGGATCCAGGTGATATAGACCTGAGTGTATTTTGCCAACTGTGTGCAAATGAGTGTTTAATTGGAACGTTACTTAGAAACCGCACCTACCTGATTAGCCCCTGTAAGTAAGAAGCCGACCGTGGGCTATCAGAGAGTTCCATGCAACCTCATGTGCAATATTTTTTGTCAATGCTATATTCGTTCACTCATTACCTAGCATTCCAACGTGTTCTTTCAACGTGTCCTTCTATACTATGCTGCCAAGTGCACCTCCAAATTACAACACCTTTCAACACCTAACAGATTTGCCGATTAGTAGCGTCTGCGACTTTCGATTTTCTGATGTTTATCAACCACCTATCACCCATATCACAGCCAAATCAAATCGTTTAGTTGAATGCAAAATGAAGGGGGCGTATGTGCAAAGTTGTACAAAGCTGACTGACAGTCTGGCCTTTAGATTGATACCGTACACATTTCCTGCTAACAGTTCAGTGGAGTAGCTCAGCCAGATACTGTCAGCCTACATAGGAGCAGTCACGATGCCGATGCTGGATTCGAGCCACAGACTTTCTGATGAGTACGCTCGCGCCGAGCCAAAATCATTGTGTCATATGAGGATGGGGTTCAACAACCCGCAGGGTGATAGCTGTTCGAAATCTAACGTCTATCCGACAAAAAAGTAGTAAAATGAATGAGGAAAAGTGGTTGAAAATTACATCTAATTGATCATATCATTATTTAGAAAAGAGTAGCTGACGAGGTGACTGGATAAAAACCTGATGACAAGTGAGGCAGTCTCCTGGTCTTCTATCAGAACTGACATACTTCGACCCGAGGTTAACCCCTATGGTGGCAAACCTTTGTAATGCGAACTTCCTTCTGGACGATATTTCGTTCGGAAATATGACGTTAAACCGAATTTGTTCGTGAATTTTAAGGTCAACACATACGGAATAGTTTTATATTTTGCCGCCCAACCCCACGAACCCGCTTCTAACATTTGACCTGGTGCACTTGATCCCTTTTCAGTGTTCGTCAAAGAAGATCTCCGTCGGTTGACTACGCAACGTGCAGTAAGCGTTTTACCGTCCTTTACCAAGTCTATGATTCATTTAAAAGTGTTATCCATTACGTGACTGAACGAAGCTATCTTCTACCCACAAAGTGAGGGTCGTATCATTCGACAGTGAATTCCCGCTGACATTCGTCAACGTTCCCACTCGTTGTGGTTAACATCTTTACTTTTATAAAGTGTTGTAATTTATAGTGATGGGAGTAGATGTGACAATATTCAATGGAGATTTCATCCTAACAGTAAAGTTAGTTTAGGCTGAGAGGCTGAGAAGTACTGTACAGTTATTTCATCCTTGCTGATGTTCATCAGCATTTCGCGTCTTACGAAACTCAGAGTTTCATGCGCCTTCCAATCATGTTTGAACACAGCCGTTTGGTCGAAAGCAGCTGATTAGCACCGTGATTAGTCCTCACTTAGACAAGATATACGACCACTCATCCGTCAATCACGAAAACCACATCACGTGATAATATTATGATTGGCTCCTCGAAAGATGACTTCTCAGATGGAAGTTTCACACACCCAAGGCTGCTTATTGGCTCATAGAGTAACTTACTGGGAAGTCCTCCTGAGCTTCCTTGAGAAATACAGTGGAGTTCTGGGAGACAGTGTAACGTTCCTCACCTATGAAATTTAAGGTGTGTGTATATATGAATCGGTCATGTTGCCAATTTCATCGTTGGCATTGAGTCAGGCACATAAATCAAGTGACAGCTCCTGCTTTCTTATTCTCTGTCTTCTGGGCTGGTTATTTGGTCTTTAAATGAATTTCACTCAGGTCTATGGACCCGATTTCATGAGGAATCCCTCTCGTGCACATTCCTGATTTCTGAAGTAATTTAATCACCATGACAACACGATGTGACGCACAAACCACGATCGTTTACAGTAATACATCCAAAAGGGAGGCCATTTCGAAGATGGATCCTATATTCAAAGGATTGCTTCCCGTTAGCTACGACCACTCCCACATCCCCATAGAGAAGCCACCAATCAGGACGAACGGTGTCGTTTAAATAGAACAAAGCACATCTCGTTGAATTCTCTGTTCTTCAGCTAGTCCCCTTCATCTTGGACGGATATTGAATAGATGTTATCAACTGTAATAGATTTCCGCTAACGTAAAGTTAGATATTCGGACGTAATGAATGTTAAAAAAAATATATCATCTTTGGCGGATCATGGAAATGTAATCGAAAGCACTGCATCTTCAATACATACATATAAGAGTTCTTTTGCAGTTTTCGAATAAGCCTGTCGTGATGACGGTAAATTTTGGTCAGTTTCAAGTGTCATGTACGAAGGCAGTCAACCACACTAAATTTGAAACAGCCCACTAGGTCATTGGAGAAGGTAGACTTTTCAGAAGGAGCCCATTCCTTCAGGAGCGGGTTGTCTGTTATAGAGGACTGGTGCACCGAATGACAACCATATCGTCAGCTGTCCATCCGGGTATGGTCTGTTGTGTTTCAACCATATCGTCAGCTGTCCATCCGGGTACAACAGACCATACCCGGATGGAAAAGAAGGCAAAACTGCCTTCTTTAACTCAACCGTGAAAGGAACAGGCAGAGATGCAGTGGAGTGGGATAAGACAGGGTCCTGCTAGCTCAAAGTGATCGTTTCGTCGTTAAAAATAGACCAACAGATTTTGGATATTCATGATAGGATATTGAAGAAACCTGAGTCTCCCAAAGTCGGTTAAATATTATACCTGAACGGGACTATTATCCATTTGAGTCAGTCACACAACGACGCACTGTACTCCCAGTTAACGAGTTCGATTTTGTAGTTTTTTGTTTAGAAGAGACAACAACTCACAGGTGAATCAATTATAGAGGGAGGTCGTATTTATCTACTAATCGTCGGCCCGAAACCCCTCTCCCAGATGTACGTCAGCTTTCCACAAAGGACACCCAAATTAAGGAAGGGCTTCCCATCAAGCAATGGTTGTTAACACTGAGGCGTAACCCAATTGTCAAGCCCGTGTGACAGTTGAGACGGTATCAAGTCTACCTATTAGAAAGGAAACATGCTACTTAGCCATCACGTTTCGTTCCCTCATATGAGTGGTACACTTTATTCGATGCCTTCGCCTGCGCCCAGGAGTGAACCGTGTTTTTTTCTTTCCACAGATGCATGCTGAATGCATCACGAGAGCAAACGAAGAGCTCTCTAGCAGTCCAATTTGATTGCCGACAAGAAAACAGCCAAACCAAAGCACGCTTGCATAAAAATGCAGGGTAAACATTCATACGCGAACAACTGATGTACGACCGTCTGCCCAGTGTTCACAACGCCTTTCTCCAACCCCATTCAACAACTTTTTACTACAATCCATATTCATAAATCAGATTATTTTGCCTTCCTACTTTTTCTATTCAAACTGCCTTTTAACCCATTCAAATTCAAAGTTGCCTCCAATATTGTATGATGTTGTTGTTAGTTTTCAAATATTTATTGACTTTTTAATTCCCTCCCCGATATTTTCTCTACAAGTAAGCGAAGAAACATCTTTTTATACCCCTAGCTGCTCTTTTAACCCACAGCCTTAAACCAAATGAAAATCAGTCATGGGAACCCGTTCTTCCTCTGGAACATTTGCTCCGCATGTTGTTTATTACCTGTGCAAAATATCACCCCATTTTTGAGCACTGATCATTAACTGGGACTTGTTTTTTTGCCGTTCGAATCCCGTCGTATTATTTCTGTTGAGGTTGTAGAGTATTCGATTCTCCAGCGGTGTTCACCGGTTGGTTAATTAACACAAAATGCCACGATTACGTACACTACTTTATGCGATCTCTCATAGAATGAATAACAATTCAGCCTCATTATTCCTTCACTAGAACAACTCGACGGCAATCGTACGGTGTAGCACCTAGCGTTTTACAATGAAATGTAATGACGAGTGCGCACTCCGAACCGAAGCACTTCCCGTCTTCGATCGAACAAAATCGAATAATGCATTAATTTGCGTTATCACCCATTCACACAATTAGTTATATAACGTTATTGTGTATCATTTCAGCCATCTGTCATCCTCTGAACTGAAACCCCTGTCTTACTGCATTAGGTGCCGGTACGGAATTTCCCGTTGATTGCTCGAATCGATTATTGAACTCGCTCCACGTTGCAAATCTTCAGGGCACTGGAACTTGTTGACGTCACGGGTTATAATAATAGTACTTCCTCGAAGGACACTAATTGATGCGTTGTTAATCCCCACCAAGAGTGACGAATCACAGATGATTGTGTGGAGTAAACTTGGATGTTTGCATGGATGGTGCATCCATGCTGTTGCCTTCAATTTTATAGCTCCCTTCCCAATCCCCCCACTTGACAGTCCACAGACAGTGCTGTATTTACGCACCAATTTATCAGCTCCCGCCTCCAATGCGCTGCTACGTATCCCACCTCCCCGAATCATTGATGAACGAAACTGTGGAAGCTACAACCACGCGGGTATTACAGCTGACAATGCTGATTATGATGATGCTTACAGTACTTCCCTAGCAAGTTTCGCGAGCTAAAGAACATAAAGAACGACAGCGATCTCCTCGCATTTGTTTATCCAGACAGCATTGTCCATCCACGTCATTATTCAGTATTTTTGCGATGAGACTCAATGATCAAAAGCACTCGATGAGTCTAAATTTCCAAACCATGTCTGCCGGATCGCATTCGCTAGATTTTGTATTGTCCCAAGTCTCATCAGACGCGGCGGACTAGTTTCTCAGTGAAATTTTATGTAGATCGTAGTGTAAAAAGATTTTATTATTTTCAATTCAGATTTCCTTCTGTCGTTGAAGTCAGCCTAAGCTGAAAGCCCAGGAGGCACCATAGGATTGTTGCTCCCTCATTGGGAATGATCAGTGGTGTGCATCTCCCCGCATTCTTCCCAGAAGAGAGTTTCAAACCTGCAACCTTCGGGCCAGTGGTTGATCACACAACCGTTCAGCTTTAAGCGTTGATCACTACAGTATGATTAGTCCCCACGTTTATCTGCTTCTCCATCGTGATTTGTCGCAGTAGATTTAGTCTCATGGCTCTTGTTCGGCTAGATCTTCTTGATCTCACTTAGGAGCCATTCAGGAAATGAATCCAAATTGATCACGTACTTACCAACTCCAAAGCTTTGTTCAGATCTCGTGCCATTGGTTCTACTCTGCCATCCATTTACTTCCCTTTGCATTCTCGCATTTTCGCGTATGTCGCCGATAGATACGTTCACATTCCAGATGCACGTACAAATCTCTTGCCTCTGACATCATCAACAACTTAAGAAGGCTTCTGCAACCTAGTATGAAGTGTTCGTGTGAAAACAGTTTCTACATGTAAAGAGACTCCCATTTCGTGTAACTAGTAGCAGAAGACATTTGTCTTCTCAGACGAAGTTTTAAACTACCGTCCCGTTCCCATTTTCATGCTTAGGAGTCATTTCCTGAACGCC